CATGGTAAACCAAGAAAACGTATTATTTATGAGGGAACTTGGAAAATACTTCATTTTCAACTCCTCATTGTTTTCTATGTCACCAGCTTCAGTTTGATATCTGGAAACATGTTCGACGGTGGACTCTTCGGTCTCTACAGCGAATTTGGTGAGCTTTGGAACCTTTCATCCCCTAGGTAGCTCTATTTGCAAAACAAAGTCTAGTAATAGGGATGTATATGTTAGTCATCGAAGGCCTGGGTTCGCTTTATTGCGAACCATAATTCGTTCCACCATAGCTTATAAGCTTGGTTCGCCAGCCATGGCTTCGTATTGAGTTTGTCTGACCATATAGTCTGGGTATTGGTTCCTATGAACTAAAACAACGGGAGGCCTTTAGGCCACCCTAGGTGTGTGTTCAACCTCATGGGGTTTCTGATCAATTGTTTCGTCGAAGACTTCGTCTTGTCGAATTGGTGTCTTCGGTCGAGGCGACAGAGTTTGTCGACTCGGGGCCCTAGGAGTGCCTAAGAAATCACCTATTCGTGTCACCTGAGTCGCCAACTGTTGGTAACTCTGGGTCGAATCTTGTATTAATGGTCTTAGTATGGTGCCCATTTGCTGGATCAACATGTGAACCATTTCGTGATTACTTTCATCCATCTGCTGTCTCATAATGGTGATAGAACTTGAGGTGAAAGTTGGAATTAGTTAAGATGGAAGACTAAACCATGAGGGCCTAGTAACTTGGTTTGCCAAAGGCCATAATCCTTGATAAGATGAGAAAGTTGACGACGAGCTTTCTCCAATGAGTGGACCACTATGATGTAAGCTCGGTATGAACTCTGTTGGCATCCCAAAGACTCGAGGCGTGGGCATTGTGAAACTATGCACATACATCCCCCAGTTCCGACCATTATAGGCCTAGGTTCAGGTCGACGTGGCGTCACGACATGCCCACTATATGCAGTTGAAACCGCAGATACAGTGTCAGCGCCAACATTAGTTGTTTGCGTCACAACCGTATTTCTCTCCGAAGACGGTTCTTTGTTTGAACGTTGTATCACCATCTTACCACTATGTAAATGCATACACCCAAACCAACGGGTCCCACTGGGTGTGCCAATTTGTTCGCATGCAATTTTTGCGCGAACAACCTTTGGCCTCCTAACGCAGGTTTACTTGCGGGACCGGCCAAACAAGTCCCAGAACAATCTGGTCGAGTCTATGCGATGTTGGTAGAATGGTTTTTGTTTAGAGTAAGTCGGAAACAAACTTGAAGAAAAAGTGTACACGAATTAATAAACAGGAAAATAAATAAGTAAAATGCAAGATATCTTAAAATTTGGTAATGTAAATTGCTTTAAAAAGAAATGTGGACGCTATTATACATTTTGCAGGAGTGACATCTTTTCTCTTAACGCTTGGTACTCAGAGTGTATTCCTTTGACAATGTTACAAAATGCGCCCCCTAAATGAAAATGGACACTGCTTTAAATAGAAAAGGAAAATAAATGCTTTTATCTCAATGTTGGTCCTAGTGGTGACACGTGTTGCCCCCACCATCTTTGTAACTTCTCCACATTCTCAACCTTTTCAAATTCCTTCCTGCTCAAAGGTTCCCACCCTTTATGTCGGTTCCATTGGCCATCAATCGACACTTTCGATGACATAGCTTTGGGTCGACTCATAATACATCTCCTATTGGCGTCGACTTGCGATATATCTTTCGCTGGTGTCGACTTGGGTCTTTTCCTTCACCATCTTCCTGACTTGTCGACCCACATGTTAGCCTTTTCGTCAACTCTTCTCAGTCGAAATCTTCCGGCCAACATTTCTATGATACCAATCATGTAAATGCCCCACATTGCGAATGATCAAGGAGATGTTAAAATATTCACCGACATAGGTGGCACGTGTACTTTGTCGGCATAAATTTGGCATTTATGGTACTTCTTAGCATAGCTGAAACAGTCAGATTCCATTGTCAACCAGTAATAACAAGCTCTTAGAATATTCTTCGTCGTGGCATGTCCATTAGCATGGGTTCCAAAAGATCCTTCGTGAATGTCTTTGACTAACATGTCTACTTCATGTCTATCCATGCATCTGAGCAAAGTCATATCATGGTTTCTTTTGTAGAACATGTCATTACTCAGGAAGGACTTGGATGCTTACTTTCTCAAAGTTTTCTCATCCATAGTCGAAGCATTCATTAGATATTCCTACTTTTGCATATAGAATTTGATGTCATGAAACCAAGGTTTACCATCAGTTTCTTCTTCAATTGATTTACAATGTGTTGGTTCATCTTTTTGATCTATTTAGATTATTAGAGCTTCATTGTGGAAGCTGACTTGGTACATTGCAAATAATGTAGCCAAAGCGTCTACTACTTGGTTTCCCTCTCTTGGGATATGATGGAAAGTAATTTCATCAAAGTACGCCATCAATTCTACGACATAGGCGCGATACAGGATCAACTTAGGATGACGAGTTTCCCATTCTCATTTTACTTGATAAATTACCAAGGCTAAATCTTCATATACCTCAAGGATTTTAATTCGAAGGTAAATAATAGCTTCGATACCCAGGATACATGCCTCGTACTCAGCCACATTGTTTCTACAATCAAAGCATAATCTTGATGTAGATGGAGTATACCCACCTATTGGGGAGATCATAGTAGCTCATACACCATGCCCTAGGGAATTTGACGCACCATAAAACATGAGCTTCCATCGAGCTTTTAGTTCAGGACCTTCATCATCACCTATGACTTTCTCATCATTCAAAGCCATAATGTCTTCGCCTGAGAAATCAAACCTCGTGGGTTAATAGTCTTCACCGGTTGATGTGTGAGATATTCATAAAACACGTTACCTTCGATAGCCTTCTATGTGACGTATTGGATATCATACTCAGGTAATAACATCTACCAACGGGAAATTCTTCCAGTTAAGGTAGACTTATCAAATATATACTTTATTTGATCTATTTTGGATATCAACAAAGTAGTATGCCAAATCATATATTGTCTTAGATGAAAAACGGCCCATGCTAGAGTGGAACAAATTTTCTCTAAAAGTGAATATCTTGTTTCACAATTAGTGAACTTTTTGCTCAAGTAGTAGATGACATGCTCTTTTCTTCCAATTTCATCGTGTTGCCCAACACACATCCCATCGATCCCTCAAGCATTGTTAGATACATGATGAGAGGCTTGCCCTGAATAGGCAAAATCAAGATAAGAGGCTCTTGCAAGTAGTGCCTGATCTTCTCGAAGGCTTTGTGACAATCGGCATTCCATTCAATTGCTTGATCCTTTTGAAGAAATTTGAAGATGGACTCACATGTAGAAATCATATGAGAGATGAACTGGGAGATATAACTCAAACCTCTTACTTCTTCTTCGGTACATGGAACAGACATTTCTTGTGTTGCTCTGGCCTTGTCCGGATCTACCTCAATTCCTCATTAACTAGTGATGAAACCTCTCAAAATAAAATAGTAAACAAGAGAAATTCAATAAAACACAATAAAATAGGAAACCAAAAATAAAGTTAAATTTAAAAACACAATAATATAGTAAATTTAATAAAACAAACTAGAGAAATGCCTAAGTACAATAATAGAAGAATGTGAATCAAAATGCACTGATCAATGTCTCAACCAAAAAATTTAAGACATGGGTGTAGAGAGAACCATATCCACCAGAACTCTAACAAAATGGCCATATGGACGATCAAACATAGGTTTTGAAGCTATGTTATTAGTATAGATGGGTGTACCCACACTGCTTGCGATAGTAAACAAGATGTTATGTCTCCAATATTCTTGAGCAAGGCCAAACAACCTAATCCAAACTTGAGCAGTGGTGACACGTTGCAAGTTAGGGTTGAAATCATTTGCTCAAGAAAAAAGTTTAAGATTATCAGGTTCCAAGTTCCATGCTACATTCGATCTCACTCTTTTAACGTCTTCAAGTGAAGAAAAGAAAAACTCATAAAATCCTTGTATGAGAGAAGTTATACCCCAACAACAAAGGTTTTGTAATGAAGGAGATAACTTGGTCTTCAAGGTATACACGATCAACAAAGTTTACTCTTTTGGATAGATGACATGACCATAAAGGTTATGTTTACATGCCTCAAGTCCAGCTAGCTAGTCCTCTTCTCGGATTGAAATGGCAACACTCTCTCTTTTGAAGTAAGTTTGAGGAAGTTGAGATGTTGGATATGACAAACATAAGAGTTGACATTCAAATTTTGTGTGAATGTTTTGCTAGGTTTGTATTAACTGATGGTATTTTAATGGCTCCGTCAGGGCACGACCATGAAATTTGGAATGTATTCATAGATGATTGTCGGCACCTAAGGTGGTCAGTTAACCTAGAACAACAATGTTACAGAGGGGTGAATAGTGTAACTTTTTTTCTTTAGAGAGACTTCACTCTTCTTTTTTCTATTAGATTGCTTTATTTTTCAATTTTACTTGTATGATATTATCCTTTAAATTTTTTTTTCATTTTTATGAATTATGATAAGTTTTAAATTGCAACTGGATCTTCAACAACCAACCATTGATATCCACTTGACAAGTTCTTTCTAGATCTCAAAATGGTCATGACCACTCTTTTGGTGCTTTGTTTACTTGATTTAAAATACCGCTACATTTGAGGTTATTATGGACACTTCTAGTTCAGTGATTGACGCAGTTCTCTTTCAAGATGTTCATCCCATTGCTTATTTGAGAAAAAAAGTCGTGTCTAAGAAAGCAATTGGCTTTAATTTATGAGCGAGAAATGTTTTCAATTAAAAAGCTCTTAAGAAGTGGCATCATTATCTCTTGGACAAACACTTTCACATTTATTCAAATCGTTGAGGAATTTATTATCCCAAACAATTTTGACCCCTACTCAATAAAATGGACTTAGATCATGTCCTTCATTTTTTTCTTTCCATTCATCTCTTTCAACTCTCTCTCTTTATTATAAATCATTTTTCAAATCATTCTTCATTTTAAAAATCACTGCATATACTAGACATTCCATCCAAATAACTCCCACACGATGTCTCTATCTTTGGAGGCTTTCCTTTCACTAGATGAATTAACTTTTTTGCCACTGAAATTTCATTCATTGAATTTGTGAATCCCATCAATTTGATCAATTTTAGTTGCTTCAATTCTATATCTTTAGTTTCTTGCATTAAGCCTGAATTGGACCTTGGAGCTGAATAGCTTTTAGGATCGATCTGCATCCAATTAAGTGATACAAATGTCAAAAATTTCAAATAAAATATACTATAACAAAACAAGATCATCAATTATCATCGAGTATATGAATCCTACCATTACAAAAAGTTGCTCCAAAGCTGGGCATAATTTCAAGAAGGATACTAAGGAATTGATGCTGTTTTTATTTTCATGGCTTTCAATCCACCATAACTCTCTTAATTTATAGAATATAAAACTTCCACTTAAAGGAGAAATTGATGGCCATATTAGTTCCTGCAAGAAAATTCTTTTGAAGTAAAGGAAAAAAAATATGACAATTACATATATGAGCTATATATGAAGCACTGCATCTTAATACCGATAATACTTTAAAAAAAATACTATAAATATAAGCATATCTATCGGTGTTGTGTCTGTGTCTTGTGTCTGAACCAGACACACGGTTTCAATAGATCATTTATGCATCATATCAGCTATACTATACGTGGAATAGGAAGCATACCTCAAAAGTCCATTGACATAAAGTAAGAATTTCAGAATTCTTTATAGTTAACAGTGTTTCATCAAAATCTTGAGACTTCAAGTCACTGCAGCTTAGGCCTTGTCTGAAATCAAGGTTGGCATGACTTAAGTTGAAATGAGATTCTGGGCAAATCCGAGGAAGAGGTCCGCGGTATCGAAATGATTTAAGTTTAGAAGTTCTAAGATGAAGAGACTTCAACTGCAAGCAATCTAAGATAGTTAACTTATGAAGCTTTGTTTCAGATTCAATGAACAGAGACTTCAATCCAGAACAATCAGTGATCATCAAGGTTTCAAGATGCACCAAATTTGAAACAATGGAAGAAGCTACTTCACTTGTCAAATAGCTTATTGATTTCAAAGTGAGACTTTTGACTAAGAAAGTGGAAGGAGGAACAAGATTATTGAGCCTGAACTCTAGTCCATATTCTCTTTCAAGTTTTTTGTTCAGAAAAGAGAAATCAAGAAGAAGCTTACTATTAGTTGCAATAGCTGCAGAGAGTAAATTGTTATCATCAAAGTGAAATTGAAGCTTGCGCGGTTGCTTTAATGGATCAAACTCATCAAAATTGGTTAGAAATTGAGCAACAGCAGTAGTGATATCTTCAATGGTTCCATGTTTAACAAGAATTTGATTCCATAAGTTTCTCCACCTAGTAGATATGAGACTTGTTTGAAGTGAATATTCATTTGGTAGAAAAGATACAATGCAGGCAAGAATTTCATCAGGCAAATAGGTAAAAAGATCTTGTACAATTAGTTTCATGGATATTATTAAGAGAGAAAAAGAAAAGAAGAATGAAAATAGAAGTTGGTGTAGTTTGTGTAATGGAAATCGTGGATATTATTTATACACACATTCCACCTTCCAGTCTCATATCTGTTGGTCTTGGTTTACTATTCCTGTTGAATTCATTTTCGTAATAGCCAAAATTAAGTCATTCTATATTTATATGGTCAAATGGGACCAGCTAAGGAGGACTTTAAATAAGTTTTTTTAACCTTGACAAAGAAATAATCATATACTAGTATTAGTAATTAAAAAAAAAACTTAAATGCATAGAGATTTTGAATTTAGTCTTTGTAATTTATTTTTTTTAGTTTAAATTTTTATATTTCATTTTTTTTTTTTTTTGCGTGTATTCTAGTTTTTAAAACTAAAGTCTGTAAAATTTTTTTAAGGAAAATTCACAGGACCCTGCGAATTTTTCTACAGATTTTGATTTTAGAAACTTAACTACACACAAAAATTGAAATATAGAGATTCCGACAAAATAAATTATCCAGGTCAAACTCAACCAATACACTATTTAAAAAAAAAATTTTAACCGATAAAAAATTCGCCAAAGAAAGCAAACGAGTGTAATTAATTAACCTATGGCTTGTAGTTCTTCTTTGTATTTTTTAATTAATGATATTTAACTTTATTTTTTAATTTTTCTTGGAAGATGGTTCCTATCTTGAGTTTGTCCTAAAGAACAACATATCAATTTTGTCGTGCCTCGTGGTCATTTAGGGGCATGGTTCATACATAAGTGGTATTATGAAAACATGCCACAATATTAAAGCGAACAATTTCAAGCTCATAATAAAGAAATCGTCTTATGGAAAGAGAATGATTATCTCTACAAAATCATATTTTTGAATGGACTTGCAGATGATCTGTAATACTGTAAAAGAAGTTGGAAAAGCTCTGCAAAATACGTATGATACCGAGGAAGCTAGAATAAAGAAGTATATCGTTGGCTGCTACATAAAGTATCAGATGGCATAAATCAAAGGTATGTGGAGGCTCAATGTTATGAACTTCAAAAGTTTGCTCATAAGATCATTACAAAAGGTATGTGTTTAGATGAACAATTCCAAATTGCTCTTATTATTGATAAATTGCCCCTAGTTTGAAAGTTTTTAAAAATTCTGCTTCACCATAAAACAAAAGAATTTTTAATTGAGAGTCTGATTATTCGCCTTAAATTTGAAGAAGAATCTCTGAGACAAGATCAAAAAGCAAAGTCTTGGTTATTTCAAACAACAAAAACAAATTCGCTGTAGTTCTGAAGTCATTTATTTGGCAAATGATTAAAGAATCGAAACCACAATGTTGTGAACCAAATTAAGAATGAGAACCCTTCAAGGGTTCGAATTACTCAAATTGATAGGCAACAATCACCACCATAAAGAAATGACACTGGAAAACCAGGTCATATGATTAAAAATTGAAAGATCGATTTTAAACCTTGTGTTTCCCCTAATGCACAGGTTAACATGATTGATGACCAACTTATTGTTTTGATCACTAAAATCAATATGATTGGTGAGTTTGATGGTTCGTGGATGGGTATTGGCTCTTCTCATCACGTCTATTATGATCATGCAATAATTAAAACATACACGAATAAGAAAATGTTGTTGGGAGTTATCCATACCACTAATGTTGTCGGTATTGGAGAAGTGGAATAATGTCCACCTCTGAAAAGACTTTAATCTTGAAGGATGTCAAGTATACTTCAAAGGTTATTAAGAATCTCGTTTCTAGTTTTCTTCTAAATAAGGAAAGGTTTAGTCAGTCTATTGGGGTAGATTTGTAAACAATCACTAAAAATGATATTTTTATGAAATTACTATGTTTAAGATTTTTGTTAATGAAATTGAAATTGAATTTAGTAAACAAGATTAAGATACTTCATAGTGATAGGGGAACAGGATATTGTTTCAGTTTATTTAATGAATTTTATATTAAACATGGAATTGTACATGAGACTACTGCTCCATATTCTCCTAAAATGAATGGTAAAGGAGAAAGAAAGAATAAAACTCTTACTGAACTTGTTGTTGTAATTATGGTGAATTCTGGTGTTGCACCTCACTAGTGGGGGAAGTTTTATTGACTGTTTGTTATGTCTTGAATAGAGTTTCCAAGTCAAAAATTAAGATCTCTCCTTTGAGATATTAAAGAAACGACAACCAAACTTGTCTTATTTGAAACGAGTTAAACTCGCTAGTAAAGCCTATGAATGTGTATTCATTGGGTATGCAGCAAACAGTAAGGCATATAGATTTTATGATCTAAGTGAAAAAGTGATCATAAAATCAAATGATGTTGAATTCTATGAAGACAAATTTTCTTTCAAGTCGAGAAATAGTGGGGGCACTCAATCGAGTCACATTCCTGTGTTAAGAAGCACAAAAAGCAATGACAATTCAGAAACAGAACTTCGATGAAGTAAAAGAATAAGAGTTGCTAAAGAATATGAACTCGATTATGCGGCTTATAATGTAGAAGAAGATCCAATAAATCTTCAAGAAGCCTTGTCATCTCTAGATGCAGATTTATGGTAAGAAGCTATTAATGATGAGATAGAATCTCTAGAAGCTAAAAAGACCTAGCACTTAGTAGACTTGCCTCCAGGTTGCAAATCAATCGGTTGTAAATAGGTTTTTGAAAAACAAACTAAAACTTGATGGAACTATTGATAAATACAAGGCTCACTTTGTAGCCAATGGTTTTAGACAAAGAGAAAAATATAGATTTCTTCGACACTTTTTTTTCAGTCACTAGAATTACATCCATTAGGGTACTTACTTCAATAGATGTTATTTATAACTTAATAGTACACCAAATAAATGTTAAAACAACTTTTTTAAATGGTGACTTAGAAGAAGAAATCTATATGGAACAACTGGAAGGGTTTGTGATCCACAGACAAGAAAACAAGGTCTGTAAGTTAGATAAGTCTTTGCATGGTCTAAAACAAGATCTAAAGTAATGGCATGCGAAGTTTGATAATTTAATGATATCTAATGGGTACAAAGTGAATGAAAGTGACAAATGCATTTATTACAAATCTGAGAATTGCATTTGCATTATCATATGTCCCTATGAAGACAATCTACTCATACTTAAATCAAACATTTGTGTTGTTAATGATGTAAAATCATTGTTGTGCAACAACTTTGATATGAAAGACCTCGGAGAAGCGAGCGTGATTCTTGGTATCAAGATCACAAGATTCGAGAAAAGAATTTCTTTGGATCAATCACACTATGTAAAGAAGATCTTAAAGAAATATAAATAATTTTACTCTAAATCTGTGTGCACACCATATGATCCAAGTGTGAAACTGTTTAAAAACACTAGTGAAAGTGTCAGACAATCAAAATATGCGAACATCATTAGAAGTCTTAGGTATGCCACTGATTGTACTAGACCTGACATTACATATGTCTTAGGATTGTTGTGCATGTTTACGAGTAGACCAAGTAACGAGCACTAGCAAGCTATTGGACGAGTCATGAGGTACCTTAAAAGGACCATGGATCTCGACCTACATTACCAAAAATTTCCTGTTGTACTAGAAGGATACAATGATGCAGATTGGAACACCTTATCAGATATTCTAAAGCTACTAGTGGCTATATATTTAGTATAGCTGGAGGAGTTGTATCTTGAAAATCAAAGAAATAGACTATCCTGGCTTTGTCCACAATGAAGTCTGAGATGATAACACTAGTCACAGCTAGTGAAGAAGCAAGTTGGTTAAGATGCTTGCTAGTAAAGATCCCTATATGGGAGAAACCTATGCCAGATGTGCTGATCCACTGCGATAGTACCGCAGCTATTGCAAAAATTATGAACCATTATTATAATGGTAAAAGACGAGATTATATCTCTAAAGGAGCTGTAAGAGTGGATCATGTATGCACTAATGAAAACTTAGCAGATCCTTTGACGAAAGGATTAGCTAGAGAGAATGTCCATAATACATCCAAGAAGATGAGACTAATGCCTATAAAGAAATGAGTTGCTCGTGATGGTAACTTGACTTAGATGATTGGAGATCCCAAGAAATAGGTTTAATGGGTAATAAAAAATCGTGAGCAATATGAGATGATCATGCAAGTGAAGCATGAATCCTGAAGTAATAAGAGGATGAGATGATAAAAACTCTTTATGAGATCTATACTCGGTATGAGGGAGTACCTAGGCTACATGAGTACTCTTGATAGACTCGCCTATGTGATTGTGGAACTTAGGCCGGTTCCTATGAAATTTTGAGGTAGAAAAGCCTTCACTAAACCGGGATACACGTGCAGAGCCATTAAAGCACGGACTATTAGAATACACCTTAAGAAAAAGTTGTATGCGAGTTTGATGTCTAAGATAGAGTTCAAGACAATGGTGTCACTCTTGTTGAATTGGAATCCTACCTGCTACACAGAGCTTCAAGTCATAGACACATTTGTTTATGCACAATCTTAGAAACGTTTAATGTTACTTCTGAAACACTTTTTTAAATTCAGTGAGAGATTGTTGGAAAATTATGTTAAATATAGGGAGATGAATTTGAAAAAGTTCCTTATGTCAAGTTCCACATTTTGTGTTAGTTGAAAAAACTCTTTAGTCTCAGATTGTTTAGGTGAGATATATTTCCTCACTCATTTCATTATATAAGAAAATTTTCTATTTCATTCCAAAATACACCAAAAACTAATTTTGAGTTTCTCCCTTCCTCACTCTCATAACTCTGCGTCTTTCGAATTGTCAAAGCACCAACTTTTTCCCCTTTCTTTCGGCTCGTTGAATTTTCTGAGTATTTTCTTGAATTCTCTTTAGAAAATTATGTTAATTTCTTCTCGTTTAAGTTGAGAAATTATTCAGTATAATTTTTGAATTCTTTTTAGAGAATTTTTCGAATTTCTCTTTGTTTGAAAAATCATTTTGAGTGGTCAAATGACCATTATTAAATTCTCTTTGGAAAATGCGGT